GGTGGGCATTTAGGGCCCGGAAAAGGACTCTGCAGGCCGACGGAGTAGTGCTGCGTATCCCAAGTCAGAAGCAGCTCTTTCTTCATGGAGTTGCCCGTTTTTTCCCCTAGGAAAGCTTCCGATGCCTAGGATTAAGTGTTTCCGAGCACACGCAGAATTTTTAGTCCCTCCCACAAGAAGAAAAGGTGCATTATTCCTTTTATTTGGTTAAAGGGTCTTTGCGATGATTGCCACTGAACACAGGCACAGAGGCCTTTCTTTCCCCGTTCTGGGACTGGCTTCAGTTTGCTGTGTGTCCTCTCCCCTGAGTACTGTATGCTTTAGCTTTTATGCTTAAAATGGGAAAATTCGGGAATAACTTCTGGTCCCATAAATGTTGCAACCTTTGAGGGGTGTCTTGATGTCAGAAAGTGGGTAGGGATTTCTCTAGTCTAGTGTATCATTCTACAAACCTAGCTGTTTCTGCACTTTATTTACTGCAGAATTTATATCTGCATGCTCCTGGCATGCAAACCTGTGCACAGGGCAACTGAGCCAGCACATACTTATCAGGAGTAGTCCTTATCCTTTGACCTACCCTGTCCTTTGACATACGTTTCCAGCAATTGTCCCAAAGGATACCATTCTGACTGGGAGAATAAAATTCTGACTAGAATTCTCTGCGTTCCTGAATTTCAGGGTCATATTAAATTGTCCAAACCCACCTATTCACCCTTTTCATACTGTCCTGAAGAATCTAGCTAGGTTCATAATATGTATAAGAAAGTTACCATGAATCTTGCTACTGTTTTAAGACCTGAGTTTTATTTCTGTTCATCGGCCAGTATTCCTCGAGTAAATTGGTGGCTATATAAACTTGAATGAACGAATGAGAGATTGCCTCTCCTGTTCCTAAGGCTTTGTTTTTTTTAACTCTGCATTTTATATTTATGTCTCTGTTTTAATTGAAGCTGTTCTGAGTGTTCTTTCTGGACAGATAGAATATCAAATAAATAATAAGTCAGGTAGGGGCAAGGTTCCCAGTGTGTTAAGGATGATGCCCATAGGTATGTTGGTTCCAATGGGTACCATAGTAGAGATCTTAGCATTAGGCTATAATTACTTTAGTAATGGGGTAGTAAAGAATATGCAATTGGCTAGAATCACAAAATGCACTAAGCTATGCATTATAGTTTATAACAGCTGATTTCACAGGACATATTAAGTTTATGGCTTAATATGTTCTTTGAGCCCAACCAATTGTAGTCAATTCAGCAAGCCATGTGTAAACCCAGCCAATTTTTGACTCAATTCATAAATCATGCTAAGTCATAGTTTAAATACAACCAACTGTGCTTTATTAATAATGAGATGGTTCAAGCCTTACATTAAACCATGATAAGTTTATTTGATTTTGGTTTACTATGCTTTGTCAAATTAGCTGATTGTAGTTTACTTAATGTTATTATTAAACCAAGCATGAATTACTGCAGTGTACAAACCCAGTCCACATGTTCAGCTTGCAAGTCCTAAGATTAATTCCTAGCTTCCTCTAGTAAAAGGATTTTAAATAGTAAGCCTAGGAAAGATTCTGCCTGATCTGTCAAACTTTTATTACACAGAGAAACTACTTGAGTAGATGGAGAAATGGTTCATCCTAGTTTAAAGCTGCTTGATAGATAATGGTACCCTGAATTAATACTCCGAATGTTTAAAAAGTATAAAAGCCAGTATTATGCTTTTTTTAGGATAAATATCAAATATTTATTATTTTTATTTATCAATTCTATATAAGTAAAATGTATATGAGTATCCTAGTTGAAAGATTCTTTGAGAAAGGCAGAAAACAATTCTATCTACCAGGATTCTAAATGGAATCATTTACCTTAAAGAAGCATTACATTTTTCTTTTGATGTGAACAGTTGCACCTGAATAAATTCTGCCTTATCAGAGTTTGGACTTGCTGTTGTAAATTGCAATAACTGTAATTTTGTAATCTACTCTAGGTACATTTAATACTTCTTGATAGATTCTCACAACCTCTTTGCTTATTTTTTGTTTACATTCATATAATTTCATGTGGTGAAATCAGATCTGGAAATGAAATTGCACTTTTGTACTTTTAGTATGATTCAGCTTTCCAAATCGTTACAGCTAGAAGTATTGCCCAGTGCCTTAGATGAATGATTGGAAATGCAGGCTTCAGTAGTTTCTTGCATAATTATACACTATTAAGAATATAAAAAGAGCAGAAAGTTTGAGTGCTTTTGAAGAAATGATGAGCAATAATTTCAAAGTCTTACAGAGAATCATAAGATTCGTAATAGTTGGAATTCTGTTTGATTACACTTCAGTAACCAAGGAAGAGGACCTCCAAATTGCACATTAGTTTTATCTGAGGGAGAGCAACCCCATTCAGAAGTAAAGATGGTAAAAACAAGGTGCCAGAAGAACCGGGAACACACAGCCACTCAGTCTTGATTTTAAGTCTATTCTTCCCTGACTAGATACACCAACAGCCTGGGAAAGGACCTTGACAACATTACTTGGTTGACCCAGAGTTAAGATATCTAACAGGATTTTATTTATTTATTTTTATGTCTTCAAGTCAGTTTTGACTCCTGGAAACTGCCTGGACTAGTCCCTGCAGTTCTGGCAAGATTTTTATAGGTGGTTTGCCATTGCCTTCTTCCTAGGGCTGAGAGAGGGTGACTGGCCTAAAGTCACATAGCTGGCTCCATGCCTAAGGCAGGAGTAGAACTCACAGTCTCCTAGTTTCTAGCCTGATGCCCTAACCACTACAACAGACTGGCTCTCATGAAACAGAATATCATCGGCATGTTGATAACACCTGATCAACAGATTATCACACCCAGTGCCTTCATGTAGATGTTAATCAGGAAGGGTGAAACAATTAAGCCTTGAGGCATCCTGTAAGTCAAGGGCCTTAGGCTTCACATGCACACACCCAAACCAACTGGAACCAGACACAGAGAAAAGAGGAGAACCACTGTAACATTGTGTTTCCCACCCTAATCCCTGTAGTTTGTCCAGAAGGTTATCATGATTGATGGTACAGAAAGTCCCTGAGAAATCAAGGGGAACCAGAACATTTGCACCCTCTAAGTGTCTCATCACCATCCCAGCTCCACCAGAGATAATTGACAAGCATGGCTAATGCTGTCTCCATACTATGCCCTTGCCTGAACCTCTTTGAAACTGCAATCTGATTACCTTCTCAATACCCTTCCTTAAAACATGGAAGGTTGGAGACTAGACAAAAATTGTCCAGTAACATTGGGTCCAGAGATGGCTGCTTGGGGAGGAGGTGTACCACTGTCTCCTTCAAGACAGGCAAAATCATTCCCTCGCCCAAAGACCCACTCACTACTTCATGGATGAAACCACACATTACCTTCCAGGAAGGCCTAACTAACCAGGAGGGACATGGATCTAATAAACAGATGGCTGAGTTAACAGTCCCAAGGATCCTGTATACTTCCTTGGGAATTATAGGGTCAAACATCCAGCAGATACAGGACAAGACAGTGCCTCACTCAACTCACATTGACTTGTTCTGTCTGAATCTAATTCTGAGTGGATCTGAACAACTTTATCCAATACATGCCTAGGATAGTCCTCACAGCAGCCCTGAAGATATGAACCCTCCCTTCCCACCAAAGAGCAGGTCACCTTGAACACAGGCAATGGCCGCCTATCTGGACACCTATCTGTTTGTCATAGTGCTGCTAAAGGTGCAGAAAATCAATAAAAAGTTACCTCTGAACCACCGAGCAAAGGTCCACTGTCGGCCCTACTGTCTTTCTGACATACAGTTATAGTAAAACAACTTAGCTGCTTATTCATGTTTATTATTCTCACTTTATGCTTTTTTGAAGATGCTTGCTAATAAACTTTGTTTTAAAACTGCAAATGAGTAAGAACAGTCTGTGTATAAGCAGATTTGTATGTGAATTTATGTTTCTTTGCCCTTTTCAGTTAAAAAAGCATCTTCTTGCTTTCCTCATGCATTTACTTTACTTAATCATGTCCCTTTACACATTGACCAGAATTTCATTAATGTATTAACAACCAAGTTTAAACAAACTTTAAAAGGTTAGTTTCTTTCAGTGGTCTACTTAATAGCACACTAAAGTCATGAGCTCTGATCGGATCAACATTAATTATTTGCTTCAAGTTTTTCTTGCTGGATCAGAATCCTCTGAACATTTCGTATGAAGCCTGGGAGAGAGCAGCTGGCCTGGACACGGGTAGATGCCCCAGTTGACAGGTTGTTGGATTAGAAAGAATATCAAAGGCAGCAAGCAAGATTAGGGATAAGTGAACATCTAACAGCAGTTTCCAGGAGAAGAGAACAGATGATAAACAATGGGAATGGGGTACTTAAGGGGGAGATGAGAGGTGAGAAGGTCATGGGAAAAGTGTGGCAGTAATCACTAAAGCTCCAGGTTGCTGCACCTCATGAATAGAATAGGAAATGGGATTTGCGGGGACAGATGTGATGAGCGATGATGAATACATTAAAGGCAAAACTTTTCAAGGTGAGTGAAGTTTTCTCCATTAATCTGTTCAATATAATTATGGGAATGTCTTTGCCTTACGGAGGGTACTATTTGTAATACGCATATTAAAGGAAGAAATACACATTGGGATGGGGGATTATATTATTCAGCACATTGCTAAGAGTATTTTATCTGGATGAGAGAATAAAAAATAGGGGCAATTTATTTTTATCATAAACAGTGCTTACATAAAGGTTTTTAAAATCAAACTTTATGCCTTCAGTTCAGTTCTGATATCACTG